TGTGTGTGTATCAAACTCTACAATCTCACAAACACAATTACACGGAAAAATTAGTGAAAATTCAGAATGTTTTCTCCATTAAAGAAAGAAAGAAAGAAAGTTTTACAATTGATAGGTATTTCTATTTCTAAGGAAAGAAAAGTACCGGTTCTGGAGTCGAAAACGACGTCGTCGTCCATCTCCGGCGGCGTCGCCGACATCGGAACGGCGACGGACATATCGTTCCGAGAGCGCTTGCGACGGGCTTTTCTGTAGGCGGCCGAAATGCGGGCGGTGAGAGGTCGCCGGCGGCGGATCCGCGAGATCAGAGGGAGAGGAGAGGATAAGGAGGAGGAGAAGGAGACGAACGACAAAACGGAGTTTCGAGAGGGCAAGATTGGGATTGAACAAAAATACGTTGGAAATGCCATTTTTCCTTCGCGACTTTAATGGCTTCTTTTTGAGATTTTTCTTTTTTCTTTTTTCGTTTTTCTCTCTTTTTCTTTTTTTTTTTGGTACGTGAAACAATGTTCTTGTTTGTTCTGCATGTGGTGACGTAAATACCCCTGAGGCTCACTGGGGCCCAAAAATAAGAATGAGAGAATTTTGATAAACATCTTTTAAAAATACGTGAATTAGTATTTTTACATTTTATTCTTAATTTATAATTTTTTTAATTAAATAATTATATTGATAAAAAAAGTAAGGATTAAGGGTCCGTTTGGTTGTAGTGGGGGAATAGTAATATAAATGATAATGAAATAGAATGAAAATGAAATAGAATGAAAATGAAATATGATTCATTTGTTTGGTTTTACTTTTACAAATACAATAGAATGAAATATGAATATTTTTATTTTGATAAAATTACCCTTCAAGTTAATATAACTAATGTCATATATATTAATATAATCATTTAATAAATAATATTATATATATAATTATAATTATCGTTATATAATTATTTATTATTGTAATACAATCATAATATATAATATATAATATAAAATGATATATAATATAATAAAATAATGATATTGTGATTATTTTATATTATAATGTTACAACTATACTATATTATATTATTAGAAATATAATATAATTATAAAAATATAATAATATAATATAATATAACATATTATAATTATAATATATAATATAGTATATAATCATTTCTAATTATAGTATATTATCTATTTATCTATTATAATATAAATTTATATTGTAATTATATAAATACTTAATTATAACATTATAAAATATAGTATCTTATTATAATTATAATAGTATATATTTAAAATAATAAAATCCTAATTTTTATTATAACTATCATATTATTAATGAAAACATTACATCTATATCCTATAATATAACATAATATAATATAATATAATATAATTATTTATGAAATATTTAATTTTATAAAAAATACTACTATCCCAATTATTATTATTATTATTATTTATTACAATATCACAACTT